AAAATCATCACTGTTACAGGTGGGACTACAGAAGCAAGGAAAAAACCATTGATTGGGATATGTACTTAATTGAAGATGAAAAAAGGTCACAGGATTGTGTTCTGGGGCTTGACCATCTGGCTACGTGGTAATCAGGGTATGACTCATGACCATGTGGCCTGAGTCATAGCCACAAGGTGGCTACAAGATAATACCAGGACCCCAAACTTTAATTTAGATAAGGACACACTAGGAAAGATGCCTAGTTCTTTGTGAGCATAGTGTTTCTCCCCCACACCCCAACTTTCCATTGTGATTTGGTTGAAATTTTGCAAAGCAGATTCGTTTTCATACTCTACTTTCAACCATCTATCCTGAGGGGAAACTTCCACTCCCTAGGATTGTCTATGCATAGTCACATTGCTGGTTTAACGGCCAGAAAGAACTCAAGTGGCCTCTGAACTTATGTCAAGACTCAAGATGGAGTTAAGGCTCCTGCTGTAGACTGCACCCTTCCATAAAGCAAGTGCTTTAGAGTTTAACCTCCAATACAGCCCACAGCACCCATCCAAGAACCCTTCCAAGCGGAAAGCTAGGCAGCTCCTCCTCCTTCCGCTGACGTTTCCGTCTCCGGAAGACCCAGCGCCTTCAGCTCTCAGCAGCTGACTTGCACTTGGGTTCTCCCTCAACCTCTTCTCCACTTCTGTCCCCCTCCTCCCTCCTTTTCTAGCCAACTCAGACTGGGAAGAGTTAAGGTCAGTGAGTGCACCCCTCCTCCCTCCCAGAAAGGCAGAGCGGCTGACCTCGACCCAGACGCGCACTCACTTCCGTTTCCTTTGTCTCCATTCAGCGCCCATTCCTAATCCTACATCCCTTTTCAGGCCTCTTGCAAAATCCCTCACCTGCTAGGCTGTCCACCCCCCACCTGGGACACCAGTCTGTGCATCTCTGGGGACCCTGGGGAGGAGAGGTGAGGGAGGGGACCCGGCTGCCATCCGTGGAATCAGATGCGGGGGGACCGTGAGCTCAGGCTGAGGAAGTGCGATGTGGGTGGTCGGGTTGCTTCCCGGCTCTGAAGAGAGGCTAGCCCAGAGAGCTCAGGTTCTTTTTTTTTTCCCCTGTGGACTGGGGAGTTTTTCTCTGGGGGGCGGGGGAGTTTGTTTTGTTTTTCACTTTTATCCACCCAGAGCTTCAACCTATCTGTACGTCTCCAACTCCACAACTTACTGCCGTTAAAGTCCCGCGCTCCTCCCACCCCTGCCTCCTAGCTCACTTTCTCCTAAAGTTTCTCAGTGTGAGAGTAGTAGATACCAAGAGGGGCACACTTTAGAGAGTGGCACTCTGAGGCTGGGGAAGTTAAGGAAAGGAGGGTTTAAGAGGAGATGATGGAGAGAGAAGACACATTAAGGAAAGGGGATAGGAGTTCAAGAAGAGGTAACTAGTGGGGACAGGGGCAGGACCTGAGTAGGAAAGAGTTGTGGATAGGGAACAGATGTGAGTAAGGGAGATAGTTCTTGGGTATCAAGTTCAGAGAGGAAGAATGGAGTGGGAGGCTCAAGATGAGGGTCTCATGAATGGCCACTTTCTCAGATTAATGTTCCCCTATCTTCATCCTCCACAGAAAAGCCATGACATCCATGCTCTCTGCACCTGGGGCTCAGGTGAGAATGTGGCCTCCTGATGTCCTCTGTGCATTTTTCTGTTTATTTATTTATTTATTTATTTATTTATACTATCCCTGTGGTGAGTGTGAGTGTGTGTGTGTATGTGTGTGTGTGTTTCTTTTCCATTGCTCTTTGGGCCAGTACTCAGCCATCTCTTTTCCTTCACGGCATCTCACAAGCCTGGCCCCTTTGCTTCTCTGTAACTGCACCGCTTTAACCAAAGTGTCATGATAAAGCCAGCTAAGAAGGATCCATTCATTTGTTCCTTCAACAAGGAGAAACAACAGGAAGTGCTTCTCAATGGCCTGAGAACATGGCTGGGCCAAAGGAGGCCTGAGTTCTCATTCTCGTTCTGCTACTAGGTAGCCATGTGACTTTAGCTTCTCTAGGTCTCTGCTTTCTCATTTTCAGAATTATGGGGTTGGGCCACATGAGCTCGTTTTTTCTGTTCAAAAGCTCTGTTGTTGTTATGTGGCGTTGAATTGGACTGACTCATAGCGACCCCTCCTTGGGTTTCCAAGGCAGTATCCCAACGAAAGTAAATTGCCCAATCTTCCTTCCGAGGAGTGGCTGGTGGGTTTGAACCACTACCCTCCTGGTTAACAGTCAAGTACCTTAGGCTAGTGACTCTAAGATGTTACGGATCTGTGCATTTTATACATCTCTGCCTTTGGTCTCATTTTCTCTCTTGGTCATTCTGCCTTTATCAGCTTCTCAGAGTATCCTCCTCTTCGTGTCTTTATGTCTGGTTGCCCCCTCCATGTCTGAGTGTCCCTGTGTCTTTCAGTCCCTTATAGGTCTCACTCTTTGGCTCTTATGTCGTTCCAGGGGCTGCTGACATTTGAGGAGGTGGCAGTGAGTTTCTCCCAGGAAGAGTGGGGGCATCTTGACTCTGCCCAGAGGGCCCTCTACAGGGACGTCATGTGGGAGAACTACAGAAATCTAACTTCTGTGGGTAAGATTTCATGTCTCTTCTCTGTTTCAGAATCTCCATTCTTCTTCATTAGCTGTTCATGGATTTCAGTGCTGTTCTTCCCCATGGATGCTCTCACTCCCAAGTCAAGTCAAGGGATAGTGAGCAGGGCTTGATTGATGTTGGAGTGGTCTGATAATACAGTATGCTTTTGGTCAGTATTATTCTCAAAGAACATTCTGGAAAGTGAAGATGTTGATCTAGGGCACTTAGAACAGTGAATAATAGCTCCCTATAACTTTTTCTGGGAGCTCTGGTAGCATAGTGCCTAGGGCACTTGACTGCTCACCAGAAGGCTGGCGGTTCAAACCCACCAGCCACTCCTCGGAAGGAAGGTTGGCCAATTCCGAGGATACTGCCTCGGAAACCCAAGGAGGGGTCGCTATGAGTCGGGGCCGATTCAACGGCAAACAACAACAACAACATAACTTTTTCTAGAAGCCTAGACTCCTTTAAAGCAGCTATATTCCTTAATTTGCTAGGGATTTTCAGAGAGCAATATCAGGAGCACTATATCAGAAGTCTTTGGGAGATTTAATTACCACCTTTGTCACTCAGACCAGAGCCCACAAATTCATTAGCAGAAAAAGTCACCAGCTATTTTACAAAACTGGCTGGATTTCACTCATATTTCCCTTTTCTGTAAAACCTTTCTCTTTTATTCATTTGCCCTACCTGTCTTCTTTCTTCTCTCTCTGCTTTATGTTTTTTCTCCTTTCCCCCCCCTTTCCTTTCCAAAATTTCCTCTTTTTTCTTTCCTTCTCTCTTATTTTTGTAGAATAGAAGGTTTCACCCTGTAATTCCACCTAAGTGCATACTGTTGTATTTTTATTACAAACACATTTTTGTTTCCTGAATACTCCCATGGTGTATGATGGGAAACCCAGTATTTCTGTTATTGACATCAACGTTGTAATAGAGGGATGCAGTTGATTTCCATCACATTTTCCTTTACTTCAAAATCCAAACTCCCCCTACAGTCCTCTCTGGCTCCACCATCAGTCAGCTTGTACACATTACAGTTTGTGGTAGAGTGTTCATAGATAAATAAGACATGGCTTCTGCTCATTTGGAGGTTACCTTCTGGCTGGTAAGACAACAGGTCCATGTAGAAAAACTACCTGTTAAGCATAGTAGGCTGAGTATGTTCAGTGTCAAATGAATGTTCTGGAGCAGTGCTACTCAAAGTGTGGTCTGTGGACCAGTGCCAGTTTGTGAACTGTTTGTTACCAGTTTGTGATGGGATAAGTACATACACTGAGAAAGTGGTTAGAAGCTTTTATAGTAATTTGATATTACCACAGTATCCAAGCCTGAGATAATGGACTTACAACAAAATAAAATAAAACTCCTGGTCCTTCACCACAGATAGTGTGAGAAACATTGGTTTGAAGAATGAGTGTTATGAAAACAGGATGGTCACGGATAGCCTCATGGAGCTTGTGGTACTTGAAGGATGTACAAGTAGAATTAACTATGGGGAGATGGGAAACAATGAAGGTATTCCAAGCAGGGAGAAAGGTGAGAATAAGGCTCAAAGGAAGAATTATTCACTGAGAAATGGTAAATAGACCAGGGTTCCTGGTTAAGTTAGGGTAGCATGAGAGTGTGGGGGTGGTTACAAAAATTGGCATTAGAGAAGTTCAATAAACTATGGCCCAAGCCTACCTTTGCTTCCAGCCGCATCACCCATGATACTCTGTGGTCATGGGCAGTTATTCTGGAATTTTGAGAGTAAAATGGATTCCATGTATATAGGATATATGAGAGGTGGATTAAGTTTGTGGTAGGGGTGGTAACAGTTAGACAAATTAAAGAATGACTAAACAAATCTTGCCTTTTAGAGTGTCATGCTCCAGAAAATAAAGGGAATCATAACTGTAAATAGTTCAGTCAGAAATTTTTAATTTTATAATTGACCCAACAGGATTCATGTTTCCTAAGCCTGAGCTGATCTCACAGCTGGAGCAAGGTCAGGAGCCATGGGTTCCTGAAGGCCCAAGACCTCCTGATCTGGGACTGATTCCAGCCTTTTCTGCAGGTGAGAGGACTGGACCCAAAATACAGTAACTGAGCAGAAGGGAAAGTTTGATGGATATTCAATGCTTGGGGAAGGGAGCTCTGGTGGCATAATGCCTAAGGCATTTGACTGCTAACCAGAAGACTGGCAGTTCAGACCCACCAGCCACTCCTCAGAAGGAAGACCGGGCAATCTACTTCTGTAGAGATATGGCCTCGGAAACCCAAAGAGGGGTTGCTATGAGTTGAATCGACTTGACAGCAGTGAGTTTGGTTTGGTTTTTGTTTTAGGGAGTGAGGGGGAAATAAAATCTACTCTTTAATGTTTCTTCCTTAGTCATACAGCTTCTTACCAGCTGTACTCATATATCTATTAATGTAGAGGAAATTCAGTTTTGCTACCCTTATCTATTGGCCTTTTGTTTCTGTCATTAGTCCCTGCTCTCAAAGGCATTTGCCATGTATAACCCCTTACCCTGGGATTGTCATCCTGCCTCAGTCTCCCATGCTGCCCCAAATGGCTTCTCATCTGCAGGGTTTATGTGCACCTTATCTGTCAAGCCCTCATACCTCTAATATCTAGGTATCATTGTGTTCTAATTCTTGCTCTGCTTATTTATTTAGCAAGCATTTTGGAGTGTACTGTGGGCTCAAGCTATGTACTCCCTGAGTTCTGTCTGTGTGTCCTGAGAGAGAAACATGTAATTTGGCATGTGAAGTAGATGGAGATTTGTTCAAGAGGTAAAAGGGAGGTGCAGTGGTTTCTCCTTTCTCTTCTATGTAGCTGTGCTAGTTCAGGTTCTCTGTCAGCTTGGCTGGGCCATGGTTTTGAATGGCTTGGCAGCTGGATATAAGTTACTCCCCATGATGAGATTACAATCACCCCCATGGTACAATCTGCTGTGAGTAGCTAGGTAGTTGCCTTGATGGTGTGGCCTGCTTCCAGTGTATAAGAAGAAGCTTTGAGAAAGGTCTTGAGCTTTTGGCACATCCGGACCCTGCATTTGGCCAAATCTTGGCCTGCTGTGTTGCCTGATGATCATAGGATTGTTCCTGGACTTGGACCAGTGGCCTGCTGTGTTGCCTGCTGATGGGGATTGTACCATTTTACCTGTGGATCTTGGGTTCATCAGCTTCAGCAGCCAGCAGCTGCATGAGTCAGAAAAAGCCTCCAGCTCTAGTGGGCCTGGAACAGGAGATAGAGCTGAAGCCCAGTGTTGAAGGGTGTTCACCCAGCCCTAGAACTGGCACTTTGAACTTGGACTTCTAGCCATCTAAACTGTAAGGGAACAAATTCCTGTTTGTTAAGCCATCCACTTGTAGTATTTCTAAATTTTAAAAAAATAAAACTTGTATTTTCCCGATGACAGATGTGATGCCTGTTCATAGTGAATACAGGAAGTGTAAAAAATTTAAAAACACATACAATATCATCTGTTACTCGGATGTCTTTACATTTTGATGTATCCTCAAAGACTTTACAAGCTCTGGTGGTGTAGTGCCTGAGGCATTGGACTGCTCACCAGAAGCTGGAAGTTCAGACCCACTCCTTGGAAGGAAGGTTGGGCAATCTACTTCTGTAGACATAACCGTCTCAGAACCCCAAGGAGGGGTCTCTGTGAGTTGGAGATGACTTGACAACAACAACAATAACAACAACAACATATTTATTTGATATTTTGGAGATTTTAGAGCCCACATATGTTAGCTTGGGTTGAACGTTAGAGAAAGTTTTGGGAAAAGTTCTGTCTGTCCTAAGAATATGGAACCAAAAAGGTCTGGTGTTGTCATTGGCAGGTGATGTGACTTAGGGATAGTACACTCTCAGTATCTTCAGCACTTCTTGGCTCCTAGCTGTTAGGCCGAAGCAAACCCAAGCCACCAACATTTCAGTTAGCAGCTTCCTCCGGGTGTCAAGCCCTGATGAGACAGCCTGATAAGACAACCGAAGTGACAGAACCCGCCCAGACTGGAAAGTCCCATGCAGTGGCAAGCTTCCTCTTGTGAAGCCCCCTCATGCTAATTAA